GAGTTACATGTTATATGATGATAAAGATTTAAAGACATCCATCCATTCATTCACCTATCATCCATCCAACATTCATCATCCATCGATCCAACTTCCATCATCCATCCACCAGCCGCTTGCCACAAACACTGTATCAAAACATGATACATGAAAGGATTTACACGTTATATTATGATAAATATTTAAAGACATCCATCATCCATCCATCATCCATCCATCCATCCATCCATCAATCATAATCCAATCATCCATCATCCACCCATCCTCCATCCATCTATCCATCCATCCATCTATCCATCATCCATCCATATGATGACATATGGTACATAATGGCATAAGGACTAATACAAAATATTGCTTTATTGTTAAATATAACTTTTTAGGCATGACTCCTCATGTTTTCATCTCCACTGCAACCTATGTACTTCATCACCCAGAATGCATTGCACCCATAAAATAATGACAACATCCTTAGTTGAAAAACATAATAAACTTTTACAAGTCTTTAAAAAGTAATTAGAAGTTCTCACATGTCACAAACAACACGTTTTAGTAAAAAGAGAAAGTTAAGAACTTGTGAAGCCAGCTTGTGCAGATTGTTGCAGGTCCTTTAAATAAAACGTGTCAGGTGAACCAAGAAGAGTTTTAAAATTAATTTTCTGTTTTGAAAAAGTGAAAAGGCCTGATTGTGATTTGTTTCTGTTGGAACGATCAACACTCCGGCACCAAGAAGTTTGAAAGTTTCCCTTTAAACTAAACATTCATCCAGTGTTTCATGTTTCACTCCCTGAAAATGAGAGCTGAGCTGGCAGACTTACCCAGACACTGTCCTGTGGGCGTGAAGCGATATCCAGCCTTACATTCGCAGCGGTAGCTGCCAGGCATGTTCAAACAGTGTGCGTTCTGCTGGCACACTGGTCCGTTCTGACACTCGTCAATGTCTGACATGAGGGACAGAAACATGAGTCACGGTCTGCAGGTATCACAGTCTGACTGCTTAAAACCAGCAGATTCACAGCAACAAGTCCGGATTTACCTTCACAAATCAGAAGTTTGGAGTTGTAAATGAAACCCATGGGGCACTCGCACCTGAAGCTGCCAATCATGTTGATGCACACGCCGTTCTCACACACTCCTGGGATCTCCCTGCACTCATCGATATCTGCCGCAGCACGACAGCAACAATAAGAGCAAACAGGACGCCTGTCAGGACATCATGCCGTTGATAGAACCTTACCAATAACTCTCCCTGTGGTGATGTCGATGTAATACCCTGGTCTCTCGCTGCCGCACAGGACTGCAAACTCATCTGGGTGAATGGAAGTTGAAATGATGATGAAAGCTGGTTTACCTTCCTTCATTCGTCTATAAACCCATCGTTTGACGGAGCTCACCAGTGCTGGGCAGAGGACACTGCTCACAGGGTCTGTTCCACGCCCGGCCGATGTTGTAGGAGCAGCAGCACATCTTCTTGGTCATGTTGAAGGTCAGCTCGCTGTCACACGTCCTGTTGTCGGAGTAAAAGTTCCTGTAGCAGTAGCTCTTCCTCATGTCTTGGAGTTTTATGCAAAATAAAAGAACCCAACAGATGCGTCAGAACATGGCAGCACCACCTGGTGACTCGGTGAGGAGGCTAAACTGACCCATGCAGTTGTGCCCTCCGTTGACCTGCATGTAGTCCGTGGGGCAGATGCAGGTGTAGTTCCCGATGGTGTTGTAGCAGAGGCCCGGTCCGCAGATCCCTCTCTGATCACACTCATCGATGTCTGCGCAGAGAAAGGTGCTCAGTTGCACAAACCAAACAGTTTTACAGAAACTCAGGGGAAATTTTGTGTGGTAGTAGCTGAGAGCCATCCACAACACATACTCTGAGGGTAACAGTGCACCGTACAAGGAGGCGGGAGATATGCATTCCTTCAAAGGTTCCAATTTAAAATCCCGTTCAAGAACAATTTACGCACTGGTTTCCTGCAGGGTGCAGACGTCAGTCTCCAGTTAAAGGACGTGTTTATGTGTAAAATAAACAAGCGGAGTTGGGTTTGAAATCATTAAAACTGATTCAAATCGTTTATCTCATTTAAATACTTCAAACTCATTTCATAGAAATCCTTTAAAAAGACCAAGAAGTAAAGTAGTCACAGGGGTTATCATGGGGGAGCCGTACCCTGAAGCCAAACCACGAAGTAGGAATAGTAGTACAAGTAGTAAGTAGTAGTTTATTTTACAATAGATGCATACAATAGACCCTCGCTACTTCGCAGTTCATTTATCGCAGACTCGCTCTATCGCAGTTTTTCAAAATAAGATTAGACATGATACACAATTGGCTGATTTATGGATGAGCCACACGATAGTCATGGACTTTGTATTTAAAATAAATTATTTTAAATTATTTAGCACCTGCAGCACCTTTGTGCAGCCCATACTGCAAGATAAACTTCCTGCTGCAGCTGATCAGCTGTTCATCGTGCAGAGTGGAGAAGTGGGCGTGGCCAAAAGCGCTTGCAGGTGGCAAAGAGCAGAGGAGGCAGGAAGCTGACGTCATGATATTCTGTGCTCTTTTAGAGCGTTAGAAACATTGTTTAGAATATTGCAAGAGTGTGGGATACACACACACACACACACATTATGGCATTTTAAACCCTTCCCACACTCTTGCAATATTCTAAACAATGTTTCTAAACTCTAAATGCTCAATAAGAGCACAGAATGTCTTGATTTCAGCTCCCTGCCTCCTGCTGCTGCTACTCTTGGCCACGACCACTTCGCTGCTGCAGAGCGGAGATATGAGGAGGGAGCTTCTCCGCAGCTGTGAGATGCACACAGACCTGTGCAGCAGGTGCTAAATCATTTTAAATAATTTATTTTAAATAAAAAGTCATGCCGACTGTGCGGCTCATCCATCATTCAGCCAGTTGTGAGTCATGTTTTATCTTACTTTGAAAAACTGCAATAGGGCGAGTCCGCGCAAAACGAATCACAAAGTAGTGAGGGATTACTGTACTCATTTTAATAATGATAAATATGAAAAAGGACTAAATGTTACAACAAGAAACCCAAAATGAGAAACAACGTCATGAAAACTGCAGTACTTCTTAAAGTTGGGGGTCAGGGGCCCACACAGGGTGGTGAAGAAGGAGAAGAGAAATTACAAACAGAATTTAGACACGTTTTAACCACAGTTGTTATAAAATATAAAGAGATTGCTGTTGTAAATTGATAAAAGTACTTTTTTTGTGTGTGTGTCTTAGTTGTTTTTACCTTTTAATAAATTTAACTTTAACCAACAATATGCGGATCAGAACCAGAACGTACAGCGACCGAGCTTCCATTAGTCCAAACTTTACTCATTAGCAGCTCTTCTTTTAATTATTTTTTTATTTTAAATAGTAACGAGTCAAAAAGTCAAAGGAGCTGATGGGTTATTATATTTTCACACGCAGAACTGGACTTCACAATGTTCTTATTGCATCACTGAAAGGATTTCATGATTCATTTGTGCACAAATAACCAAAAACACCATAATTAAATAAATAAAATCACCTGTCCATCACCGCAGCCTGTGGTCAGATCAGAGGGCACTTTTATTTTGAAAAATATGTTGAATTCGTTTTACACAGATTTTGGGACATTTCTGGATCCTAAACGTCTCTGACGGTGTTCAGCTGTTTGAGAAGTTCTGTCAACTTCAACGATCACTGAATCTTTGGACCAGCTGAGGGGGGAGGGGCGTTTGTGCTGTTGTTAACAGCGTAAATTAACCTGAGCCCTCGCAGTTTTGTGTGTCTGTGTTGGCTGTATTAATGTGAACGTCGAGGGTTCAGAGGATAAATCCTGAGTCTTCTGTCACAGTGGCCACATGTTTGTGAGTCAGAGTTTCTGAAGTCCCTGCAGAAAAACAACGAGCTGTTTTCTTCTGCTCCATCTAACAGATAAATGGTGGTCAGAGGACACGCCGTCCTCATGTTTGTCTTTTAGTCTTCAGATTAAAATACCTCCAGCTCCAGGTCATCGTCTCCTCTCTGTCTTTTCTAAACACTCTTTGTTTTTCTTCTTCCCAACATCTCTCATTCCTCTGAACCTCACACCCTGCAGCGTCTCAGGCCCGTCTCCTGAGGACGGATTGGACTGGACCACATCGGAGCCGCCCTCCTCTGAGCAAACATTAGGAATTCTGATTTCCTGGGTTGGACGGGAAGTACAGCAGAGCCACGAGCTACAGCGGGACTTTCACTCCTCTCTCTCTGGGCGGTTTCCTTCTTGTCAATGTGTCGTTGAACCGTGGACCCAATTTCCTTTCTCAGGAAAGCACGCCGGGGCCAGAGGTCAGGAGGAAACGTCACCTGGAACTTCCTGTTGTGCAGGAACAGGTGTGGCTTACCTTCACACACTCCAGTGTCCGGGTTCAGGGCAAAGCCTCGAGGACAGTCGCACTGGAAGCTGCCAAACGTGTTGATGCAGCGTCCGCCCTGACACAAGCCCGGCAGCTCCTGACATTCGTTGATGTCTGCGACAAGGACAACGCACAGCGCAACGTCACAATCTGTGTGTGTGTTTACATCACATTGTGTGTCTTTGTTTACATCACACTCTGTCGGTGTTTACATCACACTGTGTGTGTCTGTGTTTACATCACACTGTGTCAGTGTTTACATCACACTGTGTGTGTCTGTGTTTACATCAAACTGTGTCTGTGTTTACATCACACTCTGTCGGTGTTTACATCACACTGTGTGTGTCTGTGTTTACATCACACTGTGTCAGTGTTTACATCACACTGTGTGTGTCTGTGTTTACATCAAACTGTGTCGGTGTTTACATCACACTGTGTGTGTCTGTGTTTACATCACACTGTGTCTGTGTTTACATCACACTCTGTCGGTGTTTACATCACACTGTGTGTGTCTGTGTTTACATCACACTGTGTGTCTGTGTTTATATCACACTGTGTGTGTCTGTGTTTACATCACACTATGTGTCTGTGTTTACATCACACTGTGTGTGTCTGTTTTTACATCACACTGTGTCTCTGTTTTTACATCATACTGTGTGTGTCTGTGTTTACATCACACTGTGTGTGTGTGTGTTTATATCACACTGTGTGTGTGTCTGTGTTTATATCACACTGTGTGTGCCTGTGTTTACGTCACACTGTGTGTCTGTGTTTACATCACACTGTGTGTGTCTGTGTTTACATCACACTGTGTGTATGTGTTTAAATCACTGTGTGTCTGTGTTTACATCACACTGTGTGTGTGTCTGTGTTTACATCACACTGTGTGTGTGTCTGTGTTCCA